TAGTTTTTTCTTCTGTTATCATTCCCCTTATTCTTTTCTCTGCCTCCTTTTGGATTAATCAAGCACATATTAGTATTCCACTTTATCCTCTCCATTGGCTTTTTAACTATACTTTTTGTTGTTTGAGGGATTAAAATATGCATCGTTAATCTAATATAGTGTTCCTTGAATTAATATTATACCACTTCATGTATAATGTAAGAACCTTATAAGTTATATTTCATTTATTTCTCACCTGAACTTTGTGTTACTGTTGTTTTTACATTTCACCCCTCTGTTTTCTTTGTAACCTCACTTATCTCCCTCACCTCTTCCTTTACTTCTGAATGACAGAACTATAAAATGTCACCTTTTTAAATCTTTTAAGCACTTTAAAGTATCATTTCATTGTCTTATGGATTACATATTTCCAGTGAGAAATCAGTTGTCATTTTTATCATTACAGTCATGCACCATATAACAATGTTTCAGTCAATAAGGGACCGCATATACAATGGTGGTCAAGTAAGATTATCATACTGTATTTTTACTGTATCTTTTCCTGTTTAGATATACAAATAGTTACCATTATGCTACAATATCTACAGTATTCGGTATAGTAAAATGCTATATAGGTTTATAGCCTAGGAGCAATAGGCTATATAGCCTAAATGTTTAGTAGCTGTAACATCTAGGTTTGTGTACGTACACTCTGTGATGTTCATACAACAATGAAACTGTCTGACACATGTCTCAGAATGTATCCCTGTCATTAAGTGATGCATGATGGTATATATAATATGTTTTTTTTCTCATGCTGATTTCAAGATATTCTCTTTGATTTTCCACAACTTTATTATGATGTGCCCAGATATAACTTCTGTGTCTATCTTTCTTGGGTATTTTAAGGTTTTGTCAGATTGGGAAAATGTTAGCTATTACTTCTTCAAATAATTTTTATGTTCTAATCTCTCTTTCCTCTTCTTCTGAGACTCCAGTCATACATATGTTAGACCACCCAATATATTTTTACAGGTCAATAAGGTTTTGTTTACATTTTTAAAAGTCTTTTTACTTTAATTGGGCATTTTTTAATTGCGGCATTTTTTAATTGCTCTCTCTTTAACTCCCACTTACATATTTTTTTCTGTAGTGCCAAGTGTGCTGCTAATCACATCCAGTGAAATTTTGATTTCAGATATTGTAGTCATTCATTATTTAATGACAAAAACACATTTTGAGAAATGCTTCATGAATGATCCCATCATTATGAAAACATCATATAATGTGCTTTCACAAACCTAGATGATACAGCTTACTACACACCTAGGCTATATGGTATAGCCTATTGTTCCTGGGCTACAAACCTGTATAGCATGTTACTGTAGGCAACTGTAACACATTGTTAAGTATTTGTGTATATAATCATATCTAAACATAGAAAAGGTACTATATTATGCACTTATGTTACCACTGTATTTGTGATCTGTAATTGGTGGAAACATTGTTATTCACAGCAAAGCTGTATTTCTTAATTCTAAAATTTCCTTTTGGTCTAATTTTAATTTCCATTTCTCTCGAGAGATGCCTCATATATTCACTCGTTATGATTTTTTTTTTCTTAGAAATCCTTGAAATCTAAAAAAAAAAAAAGAAACCTCGTTTACAGCCCTTTCTACAACAATCTAGAGGCAGAAATACCATTTGACCCAGCAGTCCCATTACTGAGCATATACCAAAGGATATAAAATAGTTCCTCATTAAGCTTATTCAATAACCATCTCTACAACGTGCTCTGTTATTTGTAATTATAACTACAGATACTGATTAGTTAAAATTCCAATTAGAGTCATCATTAAAATGTTTTGACCCTTAGTTTGTCATAGTGGGACTTATGGTGGATCAATATGGAGGTTACCAAGAAGAGATTAAAAGAAGGAAAAAATGGCAGATGACAAATATGAGCTGACTGATGTATTCAAGATTTTATATTATTTTCAGAAATAACTGGCTGGGGAGAGCCTTTCAGGAAGCTGATATACAGCTAGTGCTCGAGTTACGACCACAATTGGTTCCGACAGACTGGTCGTAACACGATTTGGTCGTAAGTTGAGTAGGCTATATGCACGCGGAGATGGTAGTGCTGCCGGAAGCTGGTCCACACTGTTGTACGCCCAGCTGGGCAACGTTTGCGCTGCCAGACGCAGAGCAGTCATGGCTAGTGATTGTGGTCATAAAGTCAAATGGTCGTAAGTTGCATAGGTCGTAAGTCGATCAATACCTGTATTACTATTAATATAATTAAGTTTATAACCCCAGGCAGAGAAAGTTTGAAGACATAGTTTTCTAAAGAAAAGAGGAAGAGATGAATGTTGATTGGAGGAATCTATGCTTTAAAATATGAGAAGTAAATTTATAGATAGTGGCAAGATATTGCGAGTAGTGCCTCTCAGGTATTAGAAAGATGATAACGAAAGATGGAAAGAATAGAGCTGGATTTGTTTGATAAACACCAAGCTTTTCATTATGTCAAAACCAAAGATTGTGTTTATCTAAGAGTAGCAAGATTCAAGAGAAAAGTAAGAATGGAAATGAAAATAGGATTATGCCTTAGACTTCAGGCTAAGCAGGCTTAAATCAATTCAGTTATTAGTAAGAGTTTTAGGGATGCTAGTGGCATACATTTTTTTTTTTGTATATTCATGCTGTTTCCAAGTTATGGATTTGATAAACTTGACACTTACTTTTATTTCCTGATCCAGATAGTTTGGTATGCAAATGGTGTTTGCTTTCACATCATTCTTGGTACTCGTTATCCCTGAAGAACAGGAGCCAGGAGTAGAGCATGCTTTTGGAGGTGATGGTGGCTGTTTGGCCTTAATTTCTTCCTAAATCAAAGGTATAATATAATCAATATACATTTTCACCCACTCATATTTTCTATGAAAATGCAATGTAAAATGAATGAAAAATATTGTGGTTAATAAGAGAGATCCATGAAAGTAAAAAAAGATTAGTTTTATCTTAAACTACTAAATATTTATATTTGGAGACAAAACAAATAGTGATACTTTATTAACTTTTGATGAAACCATTTTTAAACTCTTGGTTAAATAACAAGATAACAAAATTTTAATATGTAATGTATAACTCTTTATATCGCAGTTCCAGATAACAGCCAACTCATGACACATGAGATTTGCTGTTAAGTTGGGAAGATTTCTCTTTTATGGCCAGGAAAAGACAGCTGAGAGGTTTTATGCTTTGTCTGTGTAGCAACTACATGATGCAAATTGCTGCTTCTTTGCTCTAAGTAACAACTGACAGCTGGAGAGTTAGAAAGGCAAACTAGGTGGTTCACACCTATAATCCCAGCACTTTGGGAATCTGAGGCAGGCAGATCATGATGTCAGGACTTTGAGACCAGCCTGGCCAATATGGTGAAACCCTGTCTCTACTAAAAATACACAAACTAGCCGGGCATAGTGGCATGTGCCTGTAGTTCCAGCTACTCGGGAAACTGAGGCAGAAGAATTGCTTAAACCTGGAGGGCGGAGGTTGCAGTGAGCCAAAATCATGCCACTGCACTCCAGCCTGTGCAACATTGTGAGACTTCGTCTCAAAAAAAAAAAGCAAATTAAACTTTTTCCCTTGATCATTTGGAAGGGAAATAGAAAGGTTATTTTCTTGTTCTGGGAGTTAAATATACTGTTTGTAATTTTTAAAAATTAAAAAGTTTTGGGAGCTTTAAGTCCATGAAGAGTTACGGAAGCCTTAGATCTATGTACCTGTTCCAAGAAAGGGTTTTTACTCTTTAGAATTGACTGATTTATGACAACACATAGAAGCTAGTGCTTAAATGAGCCAACACCTGGGATTTTGATGATTGGAATTGATAGAACAATATTTAACTTTATGTTTAGTAAAAATAGGCTATATTGTATTTGAGGCATTCTTTTTTTAAGTTTGTCATGCAGACTTATTTTTGGAAGAATAGCAACGCAGTAAGTTCTTAATGTTGTTGATAACTCTTAGAAACTGACTTTAAGTGAGATAATGTATAACAAATCCAATATTTTTTCACATCAACTGATATGATTTGGCTCTGTGTCCCCTCCCAAATCTCACCTTGAATTGTGATAATCGCCATGTGTCAAGGGCGGGACTGGTGGAGTAATTGAATCATGGGGTCAGGTTTCCCCATACTGTTCTCATGACAGTGAGTTCTCATGAGATCTGATGGTTTTATAAGTGGCTTCCCCCTTTACTTGGCTCTCACTTCTCTTGTCTGCTACCATGTAAAACATGCCAGTTTTGCCTTCTGCCATGATTGTAAGTTTCCTGATGCCTCCCTAGCCATGCAGAGATGTGAGGCAATTAAACTCTTTTCTTTATAAATTACCCAGTCTTGGATATGTCACACAAATAATGTCCAGCAATTGAGTCATGAGTCAAAGAAGAATAGTAATGGGAATTAGAAAATATACTGAACTCAGTGAAAATGGTATATGCAAAAATTGTGATAACAGCTAAAGCAATCTTCAGAGGGGAATTTACAGCTTTAAAATACATATATTAGAAAGATAAAAAGAGTTAGAAAAAGAGCAATAAGATAAAGGATGTAATAGAGAAAACTAATAACAGCAGAAATTAATAAAATAGTAAGGAAGTATATAACAGAATCAAAAAATCATGAAAATCAATTCTTTGATATACTAATAAAATTAATAAACTTATTGAATAAACTTTTGTTGAAGATGATAAACTTCTTTAATCAAGAAAAAGACACAAATTAACAAAACTAATATGTAAAAGGGTACTTATTATAGAACCAGCAGATATTTTTAAAAGAATATAAGGATATTATACATAACTGTCAATAAATCTGAACATTTAGATTGAATAAACAATTTTTAGAAAAGAATATATTACCAAAAATTGATTCAAAGAGAAATAGAAAATCAACAGTTCTATAACAAAACAGATTTTAAAGCAAAGAATAGTTTCAGGTATGAAGAGAGTAACTTCATAACGATAAAAAGGTCATTATATCAAGAGGACATAACAAACCTAAACAGTTTTATGCCTAATAAGAGAGCTTCAAACTACATGATTAAAAACTGGTAGAAATTGAAAGAGAAATAAAAAAAAATCCACAATTATAATCAGAGATTTCAACACCCCTCCCTCAATAATTTTCAGAAAAAGTGGCTAATTAGTAAGGCTGTAGAATGGGGGTCCTCAGACCTTTGGGCCACAACACACTGAGTTCTGCCTCCTGTCAGATCAGCAGCAGCATTTGATTCTCATAGGAGTGCAAACCCTATTGTGAACTGTACATATAAGGAATGTAGGTTGTGTGCTCCTCATGAGAATGGAACATCTGGTGATCTGAAGTGAAACAGTTTCATCCTGAAACCATTCCCCCACACCACCGTAGGTATGTGAAAAAATAGTCTTCCAAATAAGGTTGTGAGATGCTGCTATAGGTTGTGACTTGAGTAACACTATCAAACAACCTCACCTAATTGATATTTATACTATGTTCTACCAAACAACAACAGAGTGAACATTCATTTTGTGGATACATGAAAAATTTATTAAAGTCAACAATATCCTGGGCCATATAACAAGCCTCAATAAATTTAAAATGTTTCAAAGTATACAAAGTGTGTTCTTCAACTACAGTGGGATTAAATTGGAATCAATAACATAAAGATATCTGAAAAATCCCCCAAATATTTAGAAAGTAAATAACATGATTTTAAGTAACCCATGGGTGAAAGAAGAACTTAAAAAGGATATTAGGAAGTATTTCAAACATAATGAAAATGAAAATTCAACATAGTAAAATTTGGGGGATGCAGCCAAAGTAATGCTTATAGGAAAAATATAGTAATACATGCTTATATTAGGGAAAAAAGTCTCAAATCAATGACCTAAGGTTTTACCTTCTATGAAGACAGGAGCCAAAGCCAATGAACTGGAAACGCAAAGCAAAACAATAGATACTCAATGAAATGAAACACTGATTCTTTAAAATGATCAATAAAACTCACAAACCTCTAGCTAGACACATCAGAAAAAAAAGAAGACATAAATTGCCAAAATCACATACAAAATTATAAAATAATAAAAGGAATATTTTATGAAAAACTTTGTATCAGTAAATCAACAACTTAGATGAATGGACAAATTCTTGGTGAAATACAAACTACCAAAGCTGGCTAAAGAAGAGATAGATGAAGATGGCTGAATAGAAACAGCTCTGGAGTGCAGTTCCCAGTGAGAACACAGAGGGTGAGTGATCACCGCATTTCCAAATGAGTTTTTACTGCCCACAGACCAGGAGATTCCCGGGCAGAAAAGCACCACAAGTCTCCAGCATGACTGTTTCAGCTGGCATGGTGGGTCTCTGCCAAAAATTCACACAAATCTGGGCAGCCATTTTAACTGGCGCCTAGAACACCTGGGAGATGGAGTCTCCTATTCAACTGAAAATAAAAGGCACTGAAATAGGGAGCCAGGTGATCTGGCTCAGCAGGTCCCACCCCGACAAAGACCAGCAATCTGAAATGCTTTGGATTGAGAATTTCACAGCAAGCAAAGCTGGACCCAAGACAGTCCACCTCTATTGTGGGGGAAGGGCATCTGCCATTACTGAGGGAGTCCACTACTACCAAGGCAGTCCACCACTACCAAGGCAGTCCGCCACTACCGGGGCAATCTGCCATTACTGAGGCAGTCCACCATTACCGAGGCAGACCACCATTACCAGGGCAGTTCTAAGTATACCTTTATAAGCAAAACCGCAAGGAAGTTCAAACAGCAGCTGAGCAGAGCCCACGGCAGCTCAGCAATGTCTCTGCTGGTAGACTGTGACTAGGCTACCTCCTCACTGGGCAAGGCATCTCTGAAAAAAGGCAGAAGCACATCAGGAACTTATAAATAAAGCCCCACCTTCCCAGGACAGAGCAGCTGAGAAAAAAAAGGTGGTTATGAGTTCTGCGGCAGCAGACTTAAAAGTACCTGCCCAGCAGCTCTGAACGGAACAACGGAGCTCACAGCTCAGCACTTGAGCTCCTATAAGGGACGGACTGTCTCCTGAAGCAGCTCCCCAACACCCGTATATCCAAAGAGACAACTCATTCAGGAGGGCTCAGGCTGACATCTGGCGGGTATCCTTCTGTGACAAAGATAACAGAATAAGAAATGGGCAGCAACCCTTACTGTTCTGCAGGTGATCCCCAGGCAAGCAGGTCTGGAGTGGACCTCCAGCAGTCCTGCAGCAGAGGGGCCTGACTGTTAGAAGGAAAACTAAAAAAGAAAGACATAGCTTCATCATCAACAAAAAGGACATCCATGCAGAGACCCCATCCAAAAGTCACCAACCACAAAGACCACAGGTAGACAAAGCCAAGAATATGGGAAGAAACCAGTGCAAAAAGGATGAAAACACCCAAACCCAGAATGCCTCTCCTCCTCCAAGGTATCACAGCTCCTCACCAGCAAGGGAACAAGGCTGGATGGAGACTGAGTCTGATGAATTGACAGAAACAGGCTTCAGAAAGTGGGTAATAACAAACTTCTCTGAGTTAAAAGAACATATTCTAACACAATGAAAAGAAACTAAGAACCTTGAAAAAAGGTTTGACAAATGTTAACTAGAATAAACAGCTTAGAGAAGAATGTAAATGACTTAATGGAGTTGAAAAACAACAGGAGAACTTCGTGAACCATACACAAGTTACAATAGCTGAATCAACCAAGCAAACAAAAGGATATCAGAGATTGAAGATAAATTCAGTGAAATAATGAGAAGGCAAGATTAGAGAAAAAAGAGTGAAAAGAAATGAACAAAGCCTCCAAGAAATATGTGATTATGTGA